CATAGAATGATCCTCTATAACTTCCAAGCAACATCTTGTAACATTCCCAGTGAATGTTCTTTATATTCAAAAAACAATAAATAATTCTCTTTCTACATATTGATCATATTCCAGGAATATGTGCTATCATCTAGGAATAATCCGCTTCATTCTAGGAATATTCATTGGGAATACAGCATCTAAGAACATTCCCAGTGAATATTCATAAGTTTAGTTGCCAAACCTCTCATTGTTGCTTACGCACGCTTGATAACTATATATACCGATATTTTAAAAATATCAGTTGGAGATGTGCGTTTGTGAATGCACAGCTAAACAATGAGTAGAGTTGGACTGATCTACTCAGTAACTAATAATGGCTAGTTAAGTTAGGTTCCAGGGTATAAGTGGCCATAAGGGCTGGGATTACTCCTAAATTATATTAAGGTACATTCTCCTAACAATACTTAAGTCATATGCATGCCGCTACATGGAATATTTTTTTATGATGACTGGGTTAACCAAAATGCGGACATTTGATTACGCCAGGAATATTCCGGTACGCTTGGGATAATCCTGGGAGTATTCCTGACATATGCAGGGAATGAGATTTTGCGGTCTGGGATCATTTAAAAAAAAATCATCTTCGATTAAGTTGTACCAATTAATGCATAGGTTTTAAGCGTAGGTACCTACATATTTGTGGTTCTGGTTTTATAAAAAGCAAAAGTGGCATATGATAACTAATTTTCTTAAATATTGGATTTTAGGGTTATAAATATTTTATAAAATTTATTATTCTACAGGGTCCGGCAAAAGAATTAAACCGTTTTAAAAAGGCTACTATGGAAATATTATTGATTTTTTTGTCGAGTGGTTAATAATGCGACAATTGTATTCGCAATTTTTAATAATAATTGACAATTTCTCCCGCTGGGAACCATCTTATTCCATCCCCTGTATTTATTTTCATTCCGCCAATAAGGTAAGAAATGTTTTATTCGCTCCCGCTACCATGACGACCCTACATTGTGATTGACTTTGAATGTAAACGTCAGAATTAAATTAAACATCAGATTTATATAATTTTGACACAAGTTGTGTATTTTTAAGCGAAAGTAAGCATTTTTAGCCTCGAGTTTAGCTTAAATAACTTAAATTTAATTTACCTAATGGGTAAGGGTACTAACTTAATTGGAACTACTTTTGGAATGTAAACGTCATTATTTAATTAAACGTTACTTTTTTAATCATCGGGAGTAATTGCTATGATTCCACGCTCGGTAAACAATATGTGACAGACTTGTAACTTATTGCAGAAAGTTTGGTGTGAACGGTAAACTCGTATCAACTTAATCAAGTTGATTAAGTTGATACGAGTTTACCGTTCACACCAAACTTTCTGCAATAAAATTAAATTAAATCAACGTATCTTTGTTGTAAATTCGTTTACCCTGACCCAGTTCATTGTACAAACGCAGATACGTTTTCTTCGTGAATTTAATTTGCCAGTGTGCGTCCCGTTGAAAAATTTCATTTTCATTTCAAAAGAGGCAGTGTAAAGTCAAAATTCGATGCTGGGACAATATTATTTTCTCACACTGGCCTTTTTATTGTACTTTAAGTTTTAGCTACAGTAGGTCCAAATATATTCTTTATTTACTTATACTGGCCTGTTTATTGCCATTGTACATGAAACTTTCAGCAATAAGGAACAAGTCTGTCACATATATCAAATCGATCGTATTTCCATAGCAGCTTTTTTAAACCGTTTAATTCTGTTACCGAACCCTGTATATGCATTACTGTGTAATGGTTATAACAAAGTAAATTGTTATAGTTATTTACGTGTCAAGCTTTGTAAATGAAACTTTACGGGCGAGCTGACAAAGTAAATTGTTATAGTTATTTACGTGTCAAGCTTTGTAAATGAAACTTTACGGGCGAGCTGAAAAATTATATATATAATCCAGTGAGCCTAGTAAAGATTAATTGCAAAGCGTGACACGTACAAACTTTTATTTTCACCTTTAGATATCGATTTTCAATTTTAAAATTTTAATTGATATGTCAAATGTGACATTTAATTTCTTAAATTAAAACTTTACAGGTATTTTATACAAGCCCATAAAATATTACAGGTCTATAACAGAACAGTTCCCATAATGTATCATTTACTAAGAAGGTGGAAATTCTACACCTTTTCCAGTTGATATTCAGAAGGTAGGAATTGTAATTCAGTTATTCCAGTTGATATTCAGATAGTAGGAATTGTAATTCAGATATTCCAATTGATTTTAAGAGAGTAGCATATGTAATTCAGATAACACAATTGATTTTAAGAAAGTAGCAATTGTAATTCAGATAACTCAATTGATTTTCAGAAACTTGCAATTGTAATTCAGAAAGTAGCAAATGTTTTTCAGATTAAATCAAATGTAATTCAGCCGCAGCAATTGTTTCAGGAACAGTGGGTTGCATACAGTAAATCGATAATGAATGAAAGTACACGTTATCTTTATTAACTAAATAAATGAAATTTATATAAAGTACAAATGAAGAAAATTCGGTCCTTACTTGCAATAAGTTGACAATTATGACAAATATACCTACTTAAATGGTGATAAATTTGTTTACTATTGTCAATTCCATGGAAACAAAGCAATATACATATATGTATACAAAGAAATACATTAAATTGAGATTTTAGAAAATAAGTAAAATGAAGTATGAAAATGTTATCATTTGTTAATTTCTGGATTTCAATTGACATATTCTGAATTACAATTGTTACTGTCTGAATACTATTTGTAATTTCTGAATATCAATTGCTACTGTCTGAATATCATTTGCAATATCTGAATTACATCAGCTACTTTCTGAATATCATTTGAAATATCTGAATAACATTTGCTATTTTCTGAATTTCATTTGCAATATCTGAAAATCAATTGCTGCTTTCTGAATATCAATTGCTACTTTCTGAATATCAACTGGAAAAGGTGTAGTGAGGACAGCTGGAAATATAACTGGTTGTTGTAGTCTACTTCCAAAATTCCATCGGGAATTTCTGTGCTCCAGTAGGTGTAATTTTGTATCCGTAGAGGAATTAAGGTGACCTTCAACATCGAGAAGTCATGTTTACCTACTACACCTTTTCCAGTTGATATTCAGAAAGTAGGAATTGTAATTCAGTTATTCCAGTTGATATTCAGATAGTAGGAATTGTAATTCAGCTATTCCAATTGATTTTAAGAGAGTAGCATATGTAATTCAGATAACACAATTGATTTTAAGAAAGTAGCAATTGTAATTCAGATAACACAATTGATTTTCAGAAACTTGCAATTGTAATTCAGAAAGTAGCAAATGTTTTTCAGATTAAATCAAATGTAATTCAGCCGCAGCAATTGTTTCAGGAACAGTGGGTTGCAAACAGTAAATCGATGATGAATGAAAGTACCCGTTATCTTTATTAACTAAGTAAATGAAATATATATAAAGTACAAATGAACAAAATTCGGTCCCTACTTGCAATAAGTTGACAATTATGACAAATATACCTACTTAAATGGTGATAAATTTGTTTATTATTGTCAATTCCATGGAAACAAAGCAATATACAAAGAAATACATTAAATTGAGATTTTAGAAAATAAGTAAAATGAAGTATGAAAATGTTATCATTTGTTAATTTCTGAATTTCAATTGACATATTCTGAATTACAATTGTTAATGTCTGAATACTATTTGTAATTTCTGAATATCAATTGCTACTGTCTGAATATCATTTGCAATATCTGAATTACATCAGCTACTTTCTGAATATCATTTGAAATATCTGAATTACATTTGCTATTTTCTGAATTTCATTTGCAATATCTGAAAATCAATTGCTGCTTTCTGAATATCAATTGCTACTTTCTGAATATCAACTGGAAAAGGTGTAGTAGAAATTAGCTGTAGACGTGAATATATCTGTTGTCTGTATGCAAGAATGTCCTTATTGTAGGGTGGTGAATAATATCTAATGCTGTTTGCCACCTGAAATGTGCCAATAATATGGATATTTAGCGCATTAATTTGTATCTACAGATCCGTACCAAGTAATAATTTGATTTATCTGATTAATCTGCAATACACTGGTTGGTACAACGATCGGTGCTACTTAATATTTTTAAATGTTTTTTAAAAAATTAATATAAAAAGATTTTATTATATTTTCCAAATAAGGACCAAAATATAGTGTTAATTTTAATACCGTTAATGCCGCCACGCAAGCGCCCCAATGCAATCACCCGTATGATTTTCACTTCCCCTACTTTAACTCCACGAAAAGGAAACAATCAGTCTATTAAATGATTTGCATATGTTTGAAAGTATGTGCGTTTTTATCCCTATATATGATATTCGAAATAAGATATCAAGAAGATAATACTTACAGAGACCTCTTGGCATATCGTATCGTATCTCTTCTACAAGATATCTAAAAGATATCTCAAAGGGGACATTTTTTGGGTGGTTATTAACTAACTTTAAGCAATTTAAAATTTTAGACATTTAGCATTGCCATGTGTTTTATTCAATGACTAACATTGACTAGAAAGGTTTGTGCACATGGCCAGGGATGGGAGAGACCCGAAAAAATTTAATCGAATGCCTTTTCTAAAATAAATCGTACTGTTTTTATTTTACCTACAATAATTTTTATATCCTCTATCTATTATCTTGCTCCCTGGCCTGGGGAAGCCCTTAAGTACGGCCACTACTAATTAACCGATTCAAGTGAAGTTTGGACATTTCTAAGAAGATAACTGTAAAATCAATATTTTATAATAATCATAATTTTTTTTTTAACTACTCTTTTGTAACTTCTTAAGTAAACCTTTGCACTTTTGTTCAGTACATTCAACACATTCGTGAAATCTGGCCAGGCATTTCGGTCACACCCGGTATTGTTTTAATAACGCATTTTAATAATAAAATCGACTGCTGATATTTATTATTTTATTGGACTTTACCTGGCAAGTTGCAACCTTAATTGTTTTCGAGGGTGGTATTGTTCTAAAAATCCCAATACTTCAAACAGCATTGGAAAAAATAATGTTATCAAAGACATCACGATTGTTATTTCATTTTTTCTCCAAACTGTTGAGTTCGCCTCAGGTTCAGTGGATCTTTTAACGACCATTATTACAGCAAAAGCAGAGAAAAACAAAAGTCCCAAAACTACTGTATTGACCAAAACTCGAAAACATATTACTTTCCAACTAAAAATATATTATGTGAAAAATGTAAAACCATTTAAATTCTTGATCCTTACTTGCGTTTTTGTTTCTTCTTTTCTGCTTCTTCGAGAAGTGCTTCTTTAAACCCCATAACAATGGATGCCACTCTATTATGGGCAGTTTCAGCATTTCCAATCATGTAGTCCCAAGCAGTAAATAATTTCCATGAAAAAATGCTCTCGTCATCTTTTTCCGATAACTTTGACATTCGAGAATTTTCGGCCATCCTTAAATATATAAAATTTTTAGATATTTGTTAAATTTAATGTTGGTCACAAAATAATTAAAAAAAAATATTTTATTATAATTTACAAGAAAAGGGACTAAATTTTATATAATTATAAGTATGCTGAATTTACTAGATTTTGAGATGAAGACAAACAATATGTTTAATAAGAATGTCAAATACATATAAAATTCTTTATTTTCTAGTTGCATTACAGCTTCGTTACAAATGATACTTTAACTGTAATATAATTAAATTAAATAAAAGATAATCCAAACAATTTAAAAAAAGCTTAGATAAGGACAATCCCTTTGTTCCAACAGTAGTCCGTCATATGGCAATCCCATTGGCTCTGGTACCTTAGTATCCTGATGGAACCCCTCCCTGCTGTTTTCAGAAAATCTATCTAAACAGCTTATAATACAAAGTAATTTGAAACTTAAATATTTTGGTGGTTTGTGTACATCAAAAAAGACTAATAAAGAGTCAATATTCACTGTTGTGCCTTGGCCGATAGAAAGTGTTAATTAACACGGCGGGATCAATTCTTTTTACCTAGGTACATTTTTTCTATTTTATCTGGTTTTATTATATGTATGTAAGGCTGAAAGTCCGTTGATTTATTTGCCAGGTTTTTTTAAGTACAGAAATGAAATAAAAACATTTAAATTTGATAGAATTCCTAAAGTTCTTGCATTTATTTATCAACTCGTCCGAATCGATTGTTTTTAACTAAAAAAGCTAAAACGTTTGTTAACTTTCTTCACATTAAAAAAAGCACCTTAAATTTAGTGTGAATTTTATTGTTGTTTTAACTCTAGAGCAGCGGTTCTTAACCTTTTTGGCTGGCGACCCACAATTCAAAAATATTAGAAGCTCGCGACCCGATAAAAAATAAAATCATCAATTTTCTACATTTTCTTAATTTAAATTAAGGATGCAGTGATTACGGCGCGCTTTTTCAAAAAGTCCCGCAAGTCCCTCGACCCATCTCGATATGGCCCGCGACCCAAATTTGGGTAGCGGCTCGAGGTTAAGAAACGATGCTCTAGAGGTTGTACTCTTGTAGTGTAACACATTTAACAAAATACATTGGGATAAAAAATACAAAGAAACTCACAGATATATCTGTGAGTTTCTTTGTATTTATAGGTTACCTATAGGTTTGTGACTTTGTATGAAAAGTGTTTCAATATGGAAGTTTCTCTCAATTTAAAAAATTGGATACCTAATATAAGTTGTTTGTGGTTCATGCTATAATATGGTTAACCGATTTGAGAAGCACCAAAACAAGGAGAAACTTAAATTTAAAACTCCAACTATATGGAAGAAACCTCTCGGTGCAAGTGATTGCTACTTTTGCACGACAAATGTTGAGACTGCGGGCTGAATCCATAAGGACAAAACTTCGTATTTTTCTGTATCAAGTGTGCAACAACCAGTTGCAAACTATTAAAACAATATAGATCAAGCGGAGAAAGCATATATTATCGCTAAGCGTTTATTTCGCTGCCGAGGCGTCAGCCGAGGTAGTAGATTGTGCGCGAGGCAATTAATAAGCTTTCGCCGCCTATTTTTTTTCAAGCATTTCATTTTTAAATTTTCTAAAATTCCGTCACATAATTTTTAGGTTAGGTTCAAGTGACGGATTACATTTATCTTTATTTTTTCGCTGTGTCTAGTCTCACGCTAGCGTGAACGCAATTTAATTTTTATTCTCACGCTAAAGTCAAAATAATTTTAATTTTATTCTCACGCATTATTTTATTTAATTTTACTTTTTAGGTGTCGTGTCATTTGATTTGATTATTATCTGATTATGTCATTTGATTTGATTATGCAAATGTAATAAAATTTACTAATAATAAAATCGAGACTCTATTACTGCAGCCAAACCAACCCAAACTCAACAACACAACCCAACCGACCCCGCCCCATTGGGCCCCCCTGCCCCATTGAGCAAAAAACCCAACTAAAATGGGCAAATTTATGTTACGATAAAAATAAAACACTTTAACAAAGGAACAACAAATTTATGAAATAAAAAAAGTTCGACAACTTCTGGTAGATTTTATGTTACGATAAAACTAAAACAAATTAACCAACCCAACCCAACCGAACACTGTTTAACAAAGAAACAACAAATTTATGAAATAAAAAAATAAAAAAAGTTCTTAGAATCGAACCCCGGACCTCTCGCATGCCAAGCGCCCGCCCTACCATCGGAGCCATCTAGCTTGTTGTCAAATATTAAACGCTCTGGGAACAAAAACGGATTATAATTAGTGACGTCACCGCGTGAGAATAAGAATAAAATTGCGTTCACGCTAGCGTGAGACTAGACACAGCGTTATTTTTTTCGTACAGAGTTTATACATTGACATGCGTTGTGAAATTATTCCTTAACCTCGACAGCCAACTATTAGCACGTGTTGTTTCTGTGTTGGTAATCTAGGAAAAATTATTCGTTGTATCCAATCACCTCACTTACACCGTTTTTACAGGAATCCACACGCAACTTGCACCCTTTTTGCACTTGGTTTTGTTAGAGCACGTGTAGAATCATTAATTGATTTTATGAATTTGAACACCGATAGCGGTGGTAGCACTATGAAAGTACGAACGCGTTAAACGAGACCCTAGACACACGACCGTTTGCCTTAAGGTGAGGAACGTCACTTATTCAATATTTTATTGTTGAAAACTTTAATTTTACGCTAACAAAATTACTGTCACAACTTACAGCCAACTTACTTATGACACTATTGATGAAAATTATGATAGGAAATATAAATTGCAAACAGACACAAGTCTCCATCTAAGGATTAATTTCAAAAATATCTTTTTGCCACTGTTGCAGCATAAACTATGAGTAATTTTACACTTATTGCACTAAAAATCCCAAGATTCAATTTTTTCGACTTATGACACTGTTGTCGCCCATGTGCGATATGTATGAAACACTGTACGAATTTTCCCAGTTTGAACAAAAGTGCTTGTCCAAGCAGATAGGTAAAAGGTTTTGCCACGAGTATTTATGTTGGTACCTAGTTTTAATAGGTTTTCATAGGTATAATAATATAATCACTGATATTATCTATAGCTATCAGTAATTAACGTATTTCCCTATACTGAACCACGATTGCACTTTTAACCTTACAACAATCCACAAGATTATGCAAATATTTTAACGCGCGAAATTGCTTCGCCGCGATTCAACTCTCTCCCGGTTACCGCTGACGTCATTAGAATTAAACAGCAAATATTATCCGCTGCCGGGATTGGTATGGGGCCGGGAGAATAGTCACAGCGATTTATTTATGTCTTCCTTTGAAAAATTATAATTATAGTCGCAGTGGCGAATGTTTTCCGTTGCGTCATCAATTACAATTTGCTTTCCTTGTATAGTCGCCTGAGGCGACTCGCCTCGGCGTATGTTGGATGTATGCCGGACGTATGTCGACAAACTGGTTTTTGACATTTGAAATTGATGACGCAACGAAAAAAAAACCACTTACCTTTTTGTTATATCCATAAAATCTGATATAGTAAAAACATTAAATTTAAAAAAAAATATTTAAAAGTTTGCAAGCCTTACCTACATGGCAAAAACACAGTATAAAATTTCTGGTAAAAAACAACACCAAAAGTGGTCTATATAGGTCCACACTAGAAATGGTATACCTATCCAACCACATACAATTTGGTAAAGTTTAACCTATTCGTAAAAAAACTCTTAACAGTGTAAAAATCATCAAATATAATACACTCTTAGGGGTAAAAGCAACACGCACTATGGCAATACCATGGTAAAAGAACTCCATTTAAGAGTATAAAATGCTCAATTTAGTGTAATTTAATACACAGGTAGGTGTTACGTGTAGGTTTTAAAAATGGTGGGTGTTTTAATATTAAACACATGATTACAAAATTTAATGGGCTTTGGCATAAAGGTAATTAAAAAAAATAATTAACACTACTTAGGTATTAAGTATTCTTATACCCAAGAAGTGTTCATAATTTTTTTTTAATTGAATGAAAAGTAGTAATATTTTAAGTTTTTTCCAGTTAGTGCAAAACCATATTTAGCTTATATAGGTATATAAGTTAAATATGATTTTTCACTAGCTAAAAAAACTTAAAATATTACTACTTTTCATTCAATTAAAAAAAAATTATGATAAGTATAGTATAAATATTCATATTTCACTTAAAAATAACAGGTAAAAAAACATGTTTTATAACAAACATAAGTTGCATCCACTGTTACATTGCACCACTTCACCAGACCACTGAATTTTAATTTAAAAACCATGGTCTTACATTAAAATAGCATAAGTACACTACCATCAACTGCCCTCGGAATACTGATGATCAGTAACTGATCGCGCCCTTGCCGTTAGCGAATGGTGATGACTACGTGCCTTTTTTACCACAATTTGTGTAGCTGTCAAAACATAATAGTGTCAAATCGACATGGTGCTGTGATAAATGAATTTAAATTAACACGAATGAATTTTACCACAATTTAAAATAAACACTTAATATTTTTGACCAAATGATTTTACCACTCCATTTGGTAACTTTACACCGAAATATTTTATACTGTGCAGGCATTTTTAAATATATAAAAGTTGTGTTAATAGTTGGAAACAACCTAAACAATACCGTTAACTTAAAGTATTTTTGCAAATTTATTGTCTTTTGTTTATAGAAATTATGTTATTTAAAATTGTATACCTTAGTAACAGGCGTCAAATTATTAACTGCCTAGAGGTGTGTAGTTCGCCAACGAACTCAAATCAAATCAAATCAAATCAAATCAAATCAAATCAAATCAAATCAAATCAAATCAAATCAAATCAAATCAAATCAAATCAAATCAAATCAAATCAAATCAAATCAAATCAAATCAAATCAAATCAAATCAAATCAAATCAAATCAAATCAAATCAAATCAAATCAAATCAAATCAAATCAAATCAAATCAAATCAAATCAA